GGGAAGTATGGAGCTTGGACTCCTCTGTTCCCAGCTCAGCCAGGAGCAATGGCTCCCGTCTCAATTCAGGAATCACTTTAGTGTCAATACTCCCCCAAGCTGGTGAATTTCCAGGGAAATGTCAAATAGGGGGCTCAAATGTAAGTGACCTAGGGGCTAGGTAGTTAATGTGTAAGAGTGAGGTCAGTTGATGGCAGGTAATAGGGAGTGGTGGGGACTGTGGCGAAGTGACTAAGCTCCAATGGAATATTGAGATTTGGGAAAGAGGGTCAGATTTTGTCAGCTCTTCCCATGGCCGGGAAAATAAAAGCGCGTCACTCAATTCAGCACTCACACAGAGCTGGGTCACGGGAGCTCTGAGGGGGAGCAGAGGCTGGGCTCTGCATGTGTTTGCATATTAATGAGGCAAGGCCAGGGGCTAATTAATGAGGGCCCGACCTCCTGGGTTCTTAGGCTGCCGCCTGCTGCTGTCCAAGTCTTTCTCTTTCAGGGAACCTTGAGCTGGTGCCTGGGCCCCATGCACACAATAGGGCCTTTCAGGACCTCCTTTGAATGAAGTGTCCTGTTCCCACCACAGTTTTTAAGATGCGGGGACAAAGCAGAAACTCAGAAGGACTAAGAAGTTTTGTTCCTCGGGGGTGGGCAGGCCAGTGCGCTGCCAAGTCCCAGGACCGGCCTGCTGGGGTTGGAGAGCCGGCCGATGCCCTGGGCCTGGGCGGAGTCATGGTCCCAGCACCCGGGCTAAATTATCGCCCTTAGTTTACAGCTAGAAATCCCGAAAGGAGGCTCGGGTCATTGGTCATGGCTGTGGTCCCGAGGCACCATGACAGACGGACCCCCCCTTCACTCCCTACAGGGGCCAATGCGGGCCCAGCGTGGGATTAATGGCGTGGGTTTCCCAGGGGAGGCTGGGTCTCTGGTAGAATATTTAGATCATTCATATCAGTGCAGGAAGGGACGACCAAGTAAAAAATGACAGCGATCGCTCTTTTTTTTTAAAAAAAATATTTTATTGCTTTTTTTCACAGAGAGGAAGGGAGAGGGATAGAGAGCCAGAAACATCGATGAGAGAGAATCATCAACCAGCTGCCTCCTGCACATCCCCCACTGGGGATATGCCCGCAACCCAGGTACATGCCCTTGACCGGAATCGAACCCAGGACCCTTCAGTCTGCAGGCCGACGCTCTATCCACTGAGCCAAACCGGTTTCGGCAACAGCGATTGCTCTTATAGCAAGTGATAGATACTCATCTACACTATGGTCATAGAAATGCAAATGAAAACTACAACCAGATATCATTTCTTAAATGTCTATCTGATTGGCAAAGATCTGGAATGCGCCGTGTGCTGCTTGGGGAGGTGGGGAGAGACGGGATCTGACAGGGATGGTGACACACACAGTGGCCCCCAGGACATAGATGGCCCATGTGCTGGCAGGAAACAACACTGCCGCTGGGAAATGATCCTATTCATTTACACCAGGATGTGGGTGCAATTCATGGTGATCCTGCTTGTATAAAGCATTGGAAGGAACCGAATGTTCAGGAATCATGAGGCATGGATGAAGTGGAATTCCAGGCAGCCCTGGAGAACAGCAGGCAGCTCTGCACATCCTGGTGGGGAGGGATGGAGAAGATACATTGTTAACCGAGGGGACTGAAGTGCAGCATCGTGTGTTTAGGGAGGTGCAGGGGGCCACTATTCATGGGGGAAGAAGGGGGAAGCTACCTAGTCACACATGTTTGTATATGAACAGAATCGGCTTGCAAGGAGACCAAGAAACACGTAACAGTGGTTGCCTCTGAGGGGGGACTAGGGAGCCCGGGTCAGCTCAGCTGGGGGGGGGCTTATAGTGTATGTTTTTGCTTTTGTTTTAAAGCATTTGAATTATGTTTGTCCTATGCTTGTATTTCTTTTACAAAGGAAAAGGAAAGAAGAAAGGAAAGAGGGAAGGGAAGAAGGAAGGAAGGAAGGAAGGAAGGAAGGAAGGAAGGAAGGAAGGAAGGAAGGAAGGTCGCTCAAAAGCCCTGCGAAGTAGTCCCCCCATTTCACAGATGCTGCCACTGAGGCAGACAGAGATGAGCTAAGTGACTTGCTTGCCAACAAAGGGCAGGGTCTGGATTCTAACCCAGACCGACTGGCTTGGTCTGTGCATTTTACCACCTTAGAGCTGTGAGGAACCTGGGGGTGGGGAAACTGAGGCTCGGAGAAAGAAAAAGGAGTTGCCTGAGGTCATGGAAAGGAGGAAGCGTGGGATTAGTGAATACGGGAGACTTGTGCTCTAGCCCCGGGGCCCCAAAAAGAAAGAGGCTTCTAGATAATGCGCAGAAAAACTCTGTTTTTGTTGTGTTCACAGTTTTAATGGACTTCAAGGCATCTGAGAAAGAAGGGCAACTAGTACATGGAGTTTATAATTTCACAAAGGTTCCGGCTTAGGATGAACAAGTTTGAAGTGAGCCAATGTACTGGGAAGACAGCAGAGGAAGAAGTTATGGCGGAAGGCGGGGGGAGACTGAAGTTGGGCAGCTCTGCTCCCCAATGGTGGCCGCCTGGGGTGTGGGGAAGCACGGGCCTTGGTTGGAAGGTCTGTAAGGAGGATTCTCTGAAAGGTTGGGGGCCTCTGGGGGGACCTTGCTGAAGGCGGCAGCCCCTGCCCTGACTTTTCCAAACAAGTGCGATCCCCCGGGGTGATTTGCTAGAATCTCTATGTTTAGTCTTTAAAGACCCAGCCTTCTAGAAGCATGTGCTTTCTCAGGGATGCTTATCCTGCTAATTGTATCTAGAGCTTAATTTTTAGTTCAAGCTGTGATGACAATAAAAGCCAAAGGGGGCGGGTGAACAGGGCTACTTGGTGGCGATAACCAAGTAGTGCTTTGGCCCACTCTTTCACAGAAACGGGTGTTAGAGTCATCACTCATCCGTCGCTCAGGTTCTGCTGGTCAGGCCTGGCCCTGGGGCCAGAGGAGGACAGAGGAGGACGTTTTTGAAATGTGTGAAACCTCGGCTTCCTTGCTCATGGCTCCTCTGCCCAGGAATTCCTACCCTGTCCTTAGATTGTCATCCCACAACTCTCTCTGCCTCCCTGTCTGCCACTGTGGGAACCAGCCCTTTTTATGGGCAATGGCATCTTCAAAGTGTTTTGGCTTCTTAATTAGCCGCCTTTCACACCCAGATGACTAGATTCCCAGACATTCCAGAGGGAGGAGGGCTGCTGAGTTCTAGACCAACCTGGGAGAGGGTCCTGGTGTCACTGCTGAAATGCAGCTTATGTAATACTAGAGGCCCGGTGCACAAATTCATGCACCAGTGGGGTCCCTCGGCCTGGCCTGCGGGATCGGGCCGAAACTAGTGGTCAGTGTGTGTCATAGCTACCAGTTGAAGTGTCTGCCCCCTGGTGGTCAGTGCACATCATAGCGAGTGGTTGAGTGGCCTTAGCATATCATTAGCATATTACGCTTTGATTGGTTGAATAGATGACCGGACACTTAGCATATTAGGCTTTTATTATATAGGATATATACATATGGAGCTTTGGGAGCTTCAATCGTTTTCATCTATGAAATGGAGGGGCGAATAGGGTTGTTGGGAAGGCTACCAGTGGCTGGTGCAGGACCACTACTCCATACATGCTGGTCCCCTTCACACTCAGATGTCACCTCCTCAACCACTCGCTATGATGTGCACTGACCACCAGGGGGCAGACACTTCAACTGGTAGGTTAGCTTGCTGCTGGGGTCTGGCCGATCGGGACTGAGTGAGACAGGCCGGACATGCCCTGGAGCCCTCCCTCGGTCCCTCCCTGGCTGGCCAACCTCCCGTGTCCCTCCCCGGCTTCACTCCTCACCACCCCTCCTCTACCCTTCAGGACATTCAGTGTTTCTCCCTTTTAACGCTGACCAGTTCGCTGTCTTGCATTAGGGTGAATGGTGTCCCTGTTGTAGTCATTAACTCCTTGAAGTTGGGGCTTATGTCTAAGGCATCATTGCATCTTTCTCGCTAGGAAGCTCAGGGTCTGGCATGAAACTCAGTAAATGTTTGTGTGCCCAGAGGCCTGCAGCTCCACTCTGTGGGCGAAGTCCGGTTCTCTCAGTCATTAGCTCCATGATGTTAGGCACGTTACTGACCTTGCCTGGAGGGCCTGACCTGTAAAATGGGAATAATTAATAATGGCACCTACATCACAGGGTTGTTGTGAGGATTAAATAAGTGAATGTGCTTAGAACAGTAGCTGTTGGCTATTCTTACGTTTTAGCTATTGTGATGAATTCTGCTATGAATATTGGGGTACAAGATATCTGCAATGAACGTGGAGGTGCAGATATTGCTTCAAGACAGTGATTTATGTCCTCTGGATACGTACCCACAGTGGACTTGCTGGATCCTTGGGTAGTTCTATGTTTAATTTTTTTTATCTGTGTATGGAATCTTTTTAGAAAATATATATATTTTACTTTTATTGACTTCAGAGAGGAAGGGAGAGGGAGAGAGAGAAACATCAGTGATGAGAGAGAATCATCAAGCAGCTGCCTCCACGAGGGAGGAGCTTCAACCTGGGCATGTGCCCTGATCAGGAATACAACCGTGACCTCCTGGATCGATGCTAAACCACAGAGCCACTCCGGTTGGGCTGTATGTTTAATTTTGGAAGAACCATCATCCTGTTTATCACAGTGGCTGTGTCATTTGCATTCCCACCAACAGTGCACACCGATTTCTCCATATCTTTGTGTGTATGCTTTCTTTTAATTTGGTTCATATCAAAGTATTACCTATTCAAATAATATATTACATATACATTTTTAAAATATATTTTTATTGATTTCAGAGAGAGGAAGGGAGAGGGAGAGAGAGAAACATCAATGAGAGAGAATCATCCATCGGCTGCTTCCTGCACGCCCCCTACTGGGGATGGAGCCCGCAACCCAGGTGTGAGCCCTGACCAGGAATCCAACTGTGACCTCCGGGTTCATAGGTCAATGCTCAACCACGGAACCATGGCAGCCGGGCAATAAATTACATATTTTTAAAAAAGACCTGCTGTGTTAAAGAGGTGAGGGTGGGTGAGTGAAGGGACAGGACAACAAGAATAAATAAATGGCCCAGGTTGGTGATCTGTCTGGCCCCTTCCTGCTTGGAAAGGCCAGGACTGTAGTAGAAACGGAACTTGGGAGTCTCCTCGGGCCTGCTCTGCCCCTTGGAGAAGTGGTGCTCAGATCCGCCAGCCGCACGCTGCTTTCAGCTACAGGAGTTCATCCGAAGGTGGAAAAACTCAAGCCTCCCAGAGCGGTGCGCCAGAGGTGGCTTCCTGCCCAAAGAGGTGGTTACGAATGCTGAGTCAGGCCTCAGCCAGCGTCTGATGCTGCCCACGCCCAGGTACGGCTCCAGGGCACTGTAAGGAGCACACACCTAGGAAACTGGAATGAATGCACTCCCGCCATCAGCTTTGATCTGAACCCTGGGAGCGTGCTGGGCCAGGGGCCGGTCCCTCTGCTCCTCGGATGCTGGGCTGACCCCCATCCCGCTGCGGCCTCTTCCCGCTGTGGCCTCTTCTAGTTTCAAAAGCATCCGAAGGCTCTTGGGTCTGCCTTGCCTTGGCAGGGCCCACAGGTCATTGTGGGCACAGCTCTGGTCACATCTTCCCATCAATGCCCCTGTGGGTTTGGCAGGGGGAGACCAAGTCAGGAGGCGGCTTGCATCAATCACAACAACAGAGAGATGAAGGAGAGTGTATTTGCGGATTAAACAAAAATCACAACTTATATAAGTCATATTGGTATTTCAAAATCAGAAGCTTATGCCTGGAGCCAGAGAAGGTTCGGAAGAACTACATCAACAGAAATGAATCAGTGTGTTTCTTTGAGTGAATTGTTTGTCAAGGCTATTGTGTCATTTGAATCCTGTGAGATCATACGTTTTCTCTCTTTTCTGAAGAATCTTCAAGTGGAACCTCAGGAGTCTCTGGCTCACCCAGAGTCATGAGTCAGGCTCAGAATCCTGCCCAGAATCTCAGGCATGGTCTTGTGGGTGTCCTCGTGCCAAACGAGGAGAAGAAAGAGGTGCCACTCCCCAATGCTTATCAGTCTAAGACCATCGGTCGAACCTTCCTAATGCCGCGACCCTTTAATACAGTTCCTCATGTTGTGGCCCAACCATAAAATTATTTTCGTTGCTACTTCATAACTGTAATTTTGCTACTGTTATGAATCGTAATGTAAATATCTGATATGCAGGATGTATTTTCAGGGGTTGCGACCCCCACAGGTTGAGAAACGCTGATTTAGAACTTTTTAGCGGGGAGAAATCAGTAAGCCAACCCTACAGGGTGGGATTGAAACGCAGGGTAATGAGAGGGGCTGGGGGCTCAGGACAGGCCTCTGTGAAGAGGGCAGCGTTGGACCAAGAGATCTGATTGACACGTAGGAGCCAGGCTTATAAAGATCTGGGGGCTCTTTCAGGTGGAGAGAACCATGAAGTGGAGTAGTTGGTCCTGCCAAATGAGTTATTTAAGATGTGACTATTGATTTATGTGAAGAGGCCGATCATTCGTTGACCAAAGATTTAAAGAGCGCCCGCTATGTGCCAACAACTGTTGAGGGTGCTTGGATGCCGTTAGGCTGGTGGAGGGAGCGAGGGTATTGTGTAACAGCCCTGGTGTCCCACGCCCTGCTGCCCCGTTCTGATCCCTGGGTGAGCGGCTCCTCTTCCTCTTGGTGCTGGCCTGTCCGCTCCCTGCCGAGTGATGGAAGAGGCCTGCCCCAGGATTTGGCCTGCGGTTCTCCAGTGATAGACACATCTCCCTGAGTCTGGCGTTCAGAATTTGGAAGTTCATTTTCCAGCAAATAGAAGTCAGTCTCCATTATCAATGTTTAAAAACATATTTTTATGTTTAAAAAAATATTTTTATTTTTAAAAATATACTTTTATTGATTTCAGAGAGGAAGGGAGATAGAAACATGAATGATGAGAAAGAATCATTAATTTGCTGCCTCCTGCATGCCTCCAACTGGGGAGGGAGCCCGAAACAGGGCCATGTGGAATCGAACTGTGACCTCCTGGTTCATAGGTCAATGCTCAACCACTGAGCCACAGTAGTCAGGCTTCTTTTTTTAAAAAAATGTTTATTTATTGATTTTAGAGAGAGAAACATTGATTTCTTATTCCACTTATTTATGCATTCATTGCTTGATTCTTGTAGGTGCCCTGACCAGAGACTGAATCTGCAAGCTTGGCTTGTCAGGACAACACTCTAACAACTAAGCTACCCGGCCAGGGCCCACTTCTAATGTTACCATCTTACACAATCATGGTACAAAGAAATTAACACCAGTGCAGCTCTAGCCAGTTTGGCTGTGGATAAAGCATCAGCCTGCAGACCAAAGGGTCCTGGGTTCGATTCCCGTCAAGGGCACGTACCTTGGTTGCAGGCTTCTCCCGGGGCTAGCTCGTGCAGGAGGCAACCAATGGATGTGTTTCTCTCACATTGATGGTTTTCTCTCTGTCTTTCCGTTTCTCTTTCACTCTCCCTAAAACTCAATGGAAATATATCCTTGGGTGAGGATTAATAAAAAAAGAAAATAAATGAAATGAACATTGGTGCAGTATTAATTACTAACCAAACTATGAACTTTAATCAGATTTCGCCAGTGCTCTCACAAGCGACCCTTTTCTGTCCCAGATCCCACCCGAAACTGTGTTATTAGCCATGTCTCCTGATCTCTTTTGCTCTGTGCCAGTTCATGATTTTCTCTCATCATTGATGCTTCTCTCTCTCTCTCCCTCTCCCTTCCTCTCTGAAATCAATAAAAAAAATCTATCTTAAAAAAATAAAGAAAGAATACAGAGAGAGCTCACATACCTTTGCTCAGTTTCTCATAATGCAGAACATCTGCTCCCGCTGGCCGCCAGCCACAGCCCACTCCCCAGGAATCAACCTTGTGACTGTTGGGGGCTTGCCCAGGGCACCCTCTCACCCTGCTTCCCTCCAGGCGTTTAGTCCAGCGTCCTAAGGTGCTTAACCTCCATTCTTTACACCTGCACACCCTCTAGTGGGGGTGCTTTGCCTACACAAAATGAGAACAAGGAGCCGGAGGGGCAGGCAGCAGGCGTGTGCATAAGTCAGCATCTAAATTCTTGGCCTCACCTGGTTCCCACCAGACCTTGACTGGCTAGGTTGGTCTTTCCCACCCCAGGGCTGAGTGAACCTGGAACAATGCTACTGGCTAACAAAAAAAGAAAGGAAAGACACCAGATTTATTACAATAGCAACCCTGACAAGTCAAAGGCAGCCTTTTCATCTCGAGATAATAATAACAACAACCTAGTAATACTGACTTTTTATGGGAGCTCTTATTAAGTGCCAGGCAGAGCTTTAAGTGCTTTATTCATGTTAGTTAGTCTAATTCTCACAGCAACACTCCCCAGAAGTTCACTGCAGGACACAGTATGTGCAGAGGTTAGCAGCTCAGGAGACCACCTGGGTTTGCCATCCTGGCCCTGCCACCTACCGGTGCAGCTCTAGCCAGTTTGGGTGGCCTTGGGTTTATGTTATATAACCTCTCATGACTCAGTTTTCTCTCTTGTAAAATGGGTGTGATGACAGGATCTCCCCCCGGGGTGGCTGTGAGGATAGAAGGAGTTAGTGTGCGTCAAGTGTGTGTAGAGAATAAATGGGAGCGACTGATGGATGAGGAATTTGAACCCAGATCTTTTTGCTGTTGAGGCCTGCGGGCTTACCCAGCACACAGACGGGAGGACAGACTCAGGGCAATTTCCATTACAGGACTGACCAGAGAACCGCTAAGGACTGTGGGGTCTGGACATGGGACAGAAGAGGAAGTGGGGCAGAAAGGGGCTGGGAGTACTCAGAGGCAAGGCCTATCCAGCTGTCGGCTCAGGTCTTACCTTCCACTAACGCCCTCAAATTTAGTCTTTGGACATTATTATGAAAGAGATTACAACTAGTCAAGACGCACCAATAGGCTTGAAAAAAAAGATGCGCATTTGTACAGCTGAATTTACAAAATGCAAATATCGACAATATTCTAGAAGTTGTTTTTTAAAACCTACCTACCTAGCATCTGACCTAGTTATACTCCTCCTGGCAACCCTCTCTTCCTGTGGCCTCCAGGGCACTATACTCGCCGGGTCCTTCTTCATCAATGGCGGCTGCTTCTCGGTCTCCTCTGTTGGTTCTGTGAATGAAGAAGGAGCCGCACAGTAGACCCAACAAGAGCAGGCAGCCACATGGCAGGCTGACAACCTCAGTGATGGAAGGTCACCACACAGGATGGTCTCATCATAAGTTCCTAACTGGGCAGGCCACGGTGAGGAGCCACATCCCAGGCTCACAGCTTCTTTAGCAAAAGTCAGTCTTAACCTGGAGCCCTATGGATTGTTCTTAGGCGTCTACGATAAAGTGCATTTGAAACGTTAGAGTAATTCTCTTTTCCGGACCCCTCAGAGTCACAACTGCAGCACCAGGGCCGAGACCAGGAAACTCCTCACTGTTAGCTTGTTGCCCACAGAGCAGCTCTCCAGTGCTGTGAAGGTTAAATGTTAACTCTCCGGCACCCAGCTATGTAAAGAAGTATGTGTTTCTGCATTTTGCATTTAATACAATCCTAGAGATGTCCTCACTTTGCCTTTTTCCTGCCTCTTTAATTGACCAACGATGGATTTCATGTAACTTTCTTTAATTTTATCTCCTTTGATTCTAAAATGTATAAAATGAACTGCAATAAATAAATAAATAAAATAAAACGAAAAAATAGAATAAAATGAACTGCAAAACTGCCATAGCAGCTAGAAGGAGAAGCCCCGCGGGTGCGCTGGCCACTGTAGACAGGTTAGTAATGGAAGATGAGGAGGATAAATTCCAGCAGCAAAACACGTGACTCCATTAATTAAGTTGAGGCTCAGCCTGGGGAGAGGCTCCACTGCGCAGCCGCAGGAGCTGGGCGGGGCCTGCGCAGGGAGCAGCTG